TTTCTTGTCTTCAATAAGGCTTATAAAGAGTAAGACTTAACTGGTTGAAAAAGTAGTGAAAAACATGAAACCTTTTATGCCTCTATCAGTTCTGCTCTTCCATGATGCCAGGTGAACTACTTCTATTACAGGAATGTTGCAAAATTACCTGAAAGTTCATCCCTACTACAAAATTCTCACCCTTGTACCCTTCAGATTTCTAAAAGGAATGATAACTCATTTGCTAAAATAACTGAATATTCAGAGATGCAAAGCTGAATGTGTCAGAAAATCAGGAATCCATTCCTAAACAAAGATACTGACTATGAAAACTAAAGTATACAGACTCTCAGTCCTTATTACCAGTTCTCAGACTGTGTTTCTTTAGGACTTTTCCTCTTACATGGAAAAAGATACAGGCTGCATTTTTAATTCAGTTCTGGAACTGAATGCTCCAACACTGGGCTTCAGTGACCGAAAAACTAACCAAGTGTAATGATGAAATTTCTTTCATGGCTCTCCTCCAGGAAGAGTGTACAAAGTTCTGAATTTTACAACAGAGCCATCCTGATGAATATGGTACAGCTTCATTCGATTCTCTTCAGCCATGTGTATCAGTAACAGTAATCATTAACAGAATTTATTACAGCGCCATTATCTTTTCTACAGTTCAGCTGTCTCAAGATACATCTGCATACAATTAAAGAGTTTTTAAAGGGAGAGATTGATTACCTGGCATAACCAATGATTAGACTACCGAAGACTGTTCCAATACCAGCACCAGAACCAGCCACACCCACTGTGGCTGCACCAGCACCAATGAATTTGGCAGCAGTGTCAATGTCCCTGCTGATAGCACTTGTCTGGAATTCTCTAAGTGCTACTTGGGAGACAGTATTTTGGGCCCCATTAACTGTTGACTTGCCCTAAGGAAAAAAAAAAAAAAAAACCATGAAAAAGCATTATAATCAGACAAAAGACCATGTGATAGTGTTATCATGCAGTTTTAAAGTTGTATTAGATCCAATATCTACTTCTTCAGACTGATCAGAGTGTAAGTCATAAACTTCAGCATGTTACCTGTTCCACCTGAAAGTATCAAATTTAAATGTGAAAGACTTCTCAGGGGAAACAGCAAGACAGCACCAAGTGTAATTAGGTGTTTGACTTAAAGCAAGTTTCACACTATAGGTATTTGAGTTAGTACAAGTGAACTCTGGGTTTAGGACATTTAGGCTCACCAGGTAATTTAGGAAGATACAGAATTTTGTTTATAAGGTACCTCTCCATTCTTGACCTCTGGCCTAGACAACACAGACGCCGAAATTGGTCTGTACAAGACTCTTGATCCAGCACGGATCTGTAAGAAGAGGAAAAAAACTATAAAAAAAGAAACACTTGATCACAGCTGTTCCATACAAAAGTGTATAAAATAATAAGACTATTAGCTACTAAGCAATCTGTGAACTGCTAGATATACAACACAAATACAGAAGCAAGCACTGCCATGCAGTCTGACAGCACTGTTTTCAGGAGATATACTGTAAATAGCCACACCATTCACTGAACCTATACATGCATTATGCTGACAAAAAATAGAGCAAAACAGCGACAAAAAAGCCCGACCGACCAGAAGGCAGCAAAACACATTTTGAAATGAACAAATAAAAGCCATCAAAATGAATTTCAAAGTCGTTAAATGCACAGATGTAACCTAAACTTTTGAATTTAGCGGAGCACAAATGAATGAATCCTTTTTCACAAGCGGCCTGCATGTGTCCTTGGGCTCCCAGCAGTCTAAGGTCATATCGGCTCTTGCATAAAGCTCTTCCTGAAGGGGAAACCTGGGCCTGGACCATGCAAAATGAGACCTGCAGCAGGCCAGAGAGAGCATTTTCGTGCAGGACAATCTCTTATCTCTGCAAGGGCAAAAAACCCCGGCCTTGCACAGGACAAGCAACAGGCTGGAGTTTGACCTACAGCGAGGCACGGAGCACAGTAGGCCCAGGAGCTGTGGGCTGCGCTGACCTCCCCCTCCTTCGGCGCTCGTGTGCGAAGGCCCCTCACCTTGGCACAGGGCCCTGGCCGCGCCAAGGAGGCAGGAAGGGGAACGCGGCCCTGCCGCAGTCTCCCCGACCCC